CTTTACTCAAGCAGCATTGAGCCCACCTAGCAATTTATGCCCCCTCTGGTGATCCAAAACCCTTGTGCATGTAGAACAAGTACAACCCAGGAAGCACCAGCATCAACACTTCCCCATGCTTTCAGCAGCAGCCCCAACTCCAACACAGCCTTGAGACACTAAACCTCTTAGAAACAAGAGCTTTTACAGTATCTTGCCTTCCAGATAAAAGAGACTTAATTATATTATTCCCTGGACTATTTAAACTTTCATAATTAAGAGACTAAGGGAGGCAGAATTTACAACTTAAATGCAGTTTTATAAACAGATCTCCTGGATTTTAATGTAGCTTTATTTAAGCATCTGAACATCAACAGATCCAGAGCCCAGTTAACATTGTTCATGATTTCAGCATGTTTAGCATATATATTTCATATCTTACACCTGATGGAGAAAGCCACAGCATGTCTGATTGCCCCAGTGTGATTTGCTAAGCCAGGGCACTCCCCAGCAGCTTGCCAGGAGCCACTCTGGAGATGGCTGCAGCTTCCCCCCTCTGTACACATGGGAGGCCTCCAAGCTTCTCATGCCTTGGCTCACAGCACTCCACACTGGAGCCAGCCTGTTCATCTGATGCAGAGTATTACAGCCAGGACCTGCAGGTCCTGGAGCCTCCTCTTCCTTCTGATGGAAGAGAGCAGACCTTGGGTGTATGGTAGGACCACCTGAACCACCCCCCCTTAAGGGCATGATCAGCAGTAGCTATTACAAGTTATCTGCCTCTGCCCATACAGAAGGTTGTTTTTTTTATATCAAACAATACTGAACAGGGTCAGACTTGTTTCAGTGAAGCCTGCTCTGTCCCAGGGATCTAGAGGAGCTCAGTCCACAGAGGATTCTCATTCTGCTCCTTAACACTGAGGGAATGAAAAGGGGAAGTAACAGGAGGGCAGGTTTCTTTCCAGCACCAAGCTCAATCAGCATTAGCCTTGTATTTAGGTCAAGAGGTGTCACAGGAACTGTCAGCTGTTAAAGTGAGGAGGACAAGAGAAAAGAACAATCAGGCAGCTTGGTAGACTGCATTCATGAAAAACACTGGCAAAGCATCTAACAACTTAATGTGGGGACAAGAGGTGCAGAGGAAACCCAAATGCTCCTCTTCAAATGCTACCAACCCCAGGAGACACCCCAACACACTGGCCAGTTGTGTTTGTATCTGACACATGACAAAAGACCAGGAATTTAAAAGTAGCTTAAAAACTTTAAAAGCCAGATCCTGAAGCAATTTGCTGCTTCTGGGAGAGTAGATTAGACAGTCCAGCTGCTTTTTATCCAGCTCTTTTCTCTCACTTGCACTACAATCACCCATTTCAGAAGAGGCCAAACCTGTGGAATTATGTCAGTTAGTGCCTCCAGCACATCAGCTGGAAAATGATGCTACATGATCTACTCATCAGCACAAGTGACTTGAAACTATTAAAATAGTGCAATCTTAAATGAGCAGATAGTGTTTGGGGGGTTTGGTTCCTTCCCCAGGGCAGAGGACAAGGTGTGGAGTGCAAAGAGGAAAGACAATTAGTTAAAAAAGGATCCTGCATTCAAGCTGATGTCTGAGATAAGTTTATCCCCCAAATCTTAATGCCAGCATCTAGATAAAATCAGCTGTCTGTATCCTGTCCCACCCCACTGTGGGGCCTCACAGACGGAATCTCTGAGTCAGAGGAGTAACTGTACCAGGTGACAGGTGTGTGTACCTGGTGTTCAAGAGGTTTCCTAGTCTCTTGATCTCTGCTTGCAGGACTCTGGACATTCTCAGTCCCTGACACATATAAGCCCCATTTGGAGCAATGCAACAATCCCCACATTTCATTTTCCCCTCCATTCAAAGGTTATTTCTTCTCACCAGCACCATTCACCTCACCCCACTTCCTGTCCAGAACAGCAGCAACACCTCTTACTCCCACTGGCCTCTGCTCAGAGGCCAACTAATCTGTCTTGATCCTCATCCTGATCCCAAGCTTCCCCCATGCTGTGTCCGAGGCAAGAAGCCACCTCATTCAGAGTCATGTTTGTTCAGGGACTCCTTGGCTAACCTGGTAGGAATCGAGGGGAGAAAGGGGAGGATCTGGGGAAAAGGGGACTGGAATGGCCTTTTGCTTCTTTCTAGTGGGTCAGAGGCTTTTCCCTTTTTTCTTTTCTCTCCAGGTGTTCAGGCTTGCTCTTTGTCTGCCCTCCAGAGCCGCTCTTTGACCTCCAGGGGCAGTGTGTTGAAGAGGTCCTCCTCCACCACGAGGCCGCTGCGCTTGAGCAGCGGGCACTCCCCCAGCTCCACGGGCAGGCACTCCAGGCGGTTCCCGCGCAGCTCGATCTGCGACAGGCTCGTCAGCTCCCCCACCCGCGACGGCAGCGACTGCAGCACGTTGTTCCCCAGGTTCAAGGTTCTCAGCTTCCTGCACTGGAACAGCTCCGGTGGCAGACTCTCAATCTGAAAAATAAAGAAATCAAATCAAATCCAGGCGAAGTCTCCAGCGAACAGGACACATGCTCCTGAGAGAGCACCGAGCCTGCACAGTGCTCTGAGGTTTACAGAACGTGGTTTCAGTCACCCACTCCTCCCTTGAGTGAGCTCCTGCTTTCCACCATAAGGAATATTCCCAAAGGAAAAGTCACTGTGCCACGATGGTGTGGATTCCTCTCTCAGACAACATTGCGTTAGTTAAAGGATCACCGAAGATGGTGGCTAAAGCAGAAGACATCACCAAGGACAGGATTAGAGGACCAGAAGCCTGCTCACAGCTGGTCTATGCTATACATATTCTCATCAGTATTAGTTAGATGCTTCCCATCCCAACCCCTCTGCACCATCACTGGATCCTAACTCCTTTGCTTTAAGTAGCTATTATACAATTGGTGTTATACTGAACACCATAAAGAGTAGATACAGCCAGGACTCCTAGTTCTGCTGTAGCAAGAGGAGAGTCTACATGGGTACAACCTCCAGGCCCTGACAACTGGGACTACTCCTCCATTATTTTTGTAGGGCTTTGAGATGTTGCAAAGGCTTTCTAGGCTCCAAAGCATAGGGTTTTTTAACAGTGTCAAAATGCAACACCACAAAAAAAAAAACAAAACAGAAACTGGTTGTTAGCTTTCCCACCACCACCTTCATGCAGCCATGAGTCATTAATTAAATAATGGTTATTTCTATTAAAGCCTTGTAATAGTCCAGTACTCCCAGAGAATTTCCAGGAAAACAATATGGCCACAGTTTAACAAACACTAGGGCATGAACTAAGTGTAGGAATTCAGGATTCTGCCTTTAATTCAAAGTCTCATCTTGGAGGCTATGACTTACCTTTAAATGCAACAATGTCCTTCTTAAAATTTAAATCATGCATTATATAACTTACAGCTAAATTAGTCTCTAATCAATTCTGAATGAGATGGAGACCAAAGAAAAGCCAAGAGCAGACCAGGCCAATTAAAGACTGTTCAAGTCAGTCATGGTTCCTGGTACTGTTGAGTGTTTTGCAAACAGCAACATGCAATGAAATGATCACAGCCTCCTGAAAGTAACAGTGCTATTTAAGGGACAAGTCCTGGTTTAGGAAGGAAGCAGTGTGCTGTAACACAGCCTGCTTCCCAGAATGGCACACTGGTACCAGCCAGCTCCAGAAGTCTGTTTGCTAAGGCTGCTAAGCTAGGAGAGGAGATTTGATGTCTCTCCTAGCTGGAGGTAATTCCTGGCCTAGGGAAATGCCAGCCTACCAGTGCTTGTGGTCCTTGCTGTCTCCACTTACTGTAACCAGCCAGGCTCTCAGAGCCCCAGGGCAATTGTGACCCCAGGCACCTGCAGAGGACACAGACAGCTCTGCTGTTTCACTGTGTCCTCACCACCTTTTGCTTCAGAACACACTGGAGCAAAGGCTGCTTCAGCCTTCCCGTTGTGTTAGGGTTTTTTTCAGAAAGAAATGAGTGGTGCCACACTGGGCTGCAGAAAACAGAGCTGCCTCTAACTCCTTTCCATCCAAGAGACACTCCACCCCAAGACTGCAGAGTAACCCATGAAGCTGTGGCAGGAAGGTTGCCAGAAGACAAATGCTACAGAATTATCCAAGTTCTGAACAGTAGTTTAAGAATTTAAGACTCCCTTATTTTTGGTTAATTCTACCCTCAAACCACCCATACCAGCCTCAGTTGCTTTGAGAAAATATTTTGGCTTTTAGCTTAATAGGAAGCAATGTGTGCATACCATGAAGTTTAGCAGAGGTTAAGCCACCCCAGGACACATGCAGCCATCCAGCCTGTCAGTGCTGGGAAAGCTGAGGGAGCAGCTATGGAACTGGAGGAGCTGCACAGCTTCTCTGCCGCTCCCCTCCAGTGGCACAACACAGACCTGAGCTTTCAGACACCAACTTGAAATGCTGGCTGGAGTTTTAGGACTGAGAGCTGTCCTACTGAACTGCACTAGCAATTAAATACCTGATTTGAGAGCACTTCCCCTGTGAAAAGCCAAAGCATACAGAGCTGCTCTGCCTGCCTCTCACAGGCCACCTGACAGTGTCCCGTTATGAATGCATCTTGCCAAGAGCAGCAAGGATCCCAGAAGCCACTAATTAGATCTGTCTGCAATTTGTAGTTACATTAAAGCTTTTTCAACTTCAGGTGAGAGACTCCAATAGGAAAAGATCCTCCAGGAATTTGCAGACAAGATGAATGAAAAGTTCAACTCAGCACATCTGTCTGTGCAGTCACAGACTGATCTCTGTGATATTGTAAATGAAGTCTCCTTAATCCCAAGCACAGGAACAAAGATTCAGGACAAAACATGGGTAGAGTTTGCTTTAAGCACAAAAACACCCTCATACATAGGGCAAGAAACAGCTTGTGGTAATCAGATAGTACAGCACACTTGGTCATGCCCTCCAACCTGCCCTGCACTGAGACTTAAAGAGTTAAGGCTCAGACTGAATCTATCTGGGACTAGAGAAGAAAACCCACAGGCATCACGCTGAGGCACAGCAAGCTGCCATCATATTCCCTCCCCTCTGAAGGTCAAGGAACTGCCAGAGTTCACACTTTCACAGCTAAGTGACTGCCAGTTGATAAAGCCAGTTCAGTTCACTCTGCCCCAAGTAAGGACACTGCAGAAGATTGCTTTGCTCTCTCCAAAGTCACCTTTGTGGAACAAGACAATGTGTTTTAAAATTAGGGTGACAGACCACTGGAGTAGGTTGCCCAGACAGGTGCTGGAGGCCCCATCCCTGGGGACACTCAAGATCAGGCTGGATGAAGCTGAGTAGCTTGATCTAGTTGGAGATGTCCCTGCTTATAGCAGGGGAGGAGGTTGGACTAGATGACCTTTGGAGGTCCCTTCCAGCCCAGACATTCTATGAAAATTGAGAGCCACTTTTCATCAGTCTGTCTATACCCAGCTACTCACGAGAAGTGTGTGCTTACAGAACCAAACTACAGAGTATTCCCTGGAAATGCAGAGTACTATAAGCAAAGCTGTGAGCCCCACACAGGCCCTTGAGGGCTGCTGCCATAGTGTATGTACATCTCTGAAGTATTTAGGCCTAAGTGCACAGTTCTAGATTAAGACTACAGTTTCTCAGATCTCCATGTTAAGCCCCAAACTGATGTCAATCTAGACATTACAAGTTTCCAACCAAAGAGAAACAACTGACAGGATTTTCTGAACAGCTTCCAATTAGCACTTAGAAGCAGTTTCACTGTTAAAAAAAGGAAAAGCTACACAACAATGTCTGCTGGAAGAGAAGCTTGTCCTTGGAGTCATTTGCAACACTTTGCCTTAGATAAACCCCTTGGAGAGAAACAAAAGCTTGAGAGCTTGCATAGAATGGCAGTGCCAGGAGTATTTCACACACCACTGTCACATATTTAATCACACAGACAGCAAAAGTGCCAGAGCTACTCACACAGGAATGCTCAGCTCCGTGCTCACTTACCCTGTTGGCTGTCACAGCCAGATTCTGCAGGTTCTGTAGAAGTCCTACGTCTGGTGGTATGAAAGTCAAGTTGTTGTGGCTGAGATCCAAATAGCGAAGCTTTCGGCAATAGAAGAGCTGTGTGGGGATCTTCTCGATCTTGTTACGGTTCAGGTAAAGGCGTTCTAGATTGGTTAGGTTGCCTATTTGCATGGGGATGTAGGCAATGTGGTTGTACCACAACTTAAGGCAAGTGAGACGATGTAAATGCTGGAAGCTGATGATTTCTTCAATGGTCTTTAGGTTATTGTCTTTGAGGTCTATCTCCTGCAGATTGTGGAGGCTGAAGATAGAGTGAGGAATGCGTTCCAAGTCACAACGGATCAGCTCAAGCTCTGTCAAGTTGACCATTTTCTTAAGGCTGTTGAGAACAATGAGCTTGGTGCCCTCATTGTTGATGGAGAGCTTCTGAAGATGCACACCAACATCTGTCACCACCTGCGGCAGCTTGGTGAGGTTACTCTTCAGCCTCAACACCTTCAGCCTCTTCAGCTCCCTCAATCCATCTATCACAATGTACCGGTTGTTTTCAGCACTCAAATTCCCTGTCAGATGAAGCTCCTCTAGTGTCTTCAGGCTATAAATCCAAAGAGGAATCTCCTTGATGTCTGTGAACTTGATGTGGAGAGATTTCAAATTCTCCCTCAAGAAGGCAAGGGCTGGAGCTTCAATTTTGGCAGCTGTGTGGTAGAGCCACAGTTCCTTAAGGCTGGTGAGCTGAGCAATGCTTGGGGGAATAGTGACATCAGGGATGAGCTCCAGCTTCAAGACTTCCAGCTCATTGCCACTCAACATGAAGAGATGCAATTCCAGCTTGTCCTGGGAGTTCTTGGTGATCCTCTGGCGCAGCTTCTCCAAAGTCCACTCGTTGTTGAGGTTCAGCTGCCGCAGTTTGTTCTCACTCACCTCTGACAGAAAGACTGCAAAGCGCTTGGAGTAGAGGGGGTCGTACTGATCGATCAGATGGAGCATAAAAGCAAAGTCATTTTTCACATCAGGAATGTCACTGTAGCTGCTCTCCTCCCGGATGGACTCAAAGGAGTATTTCTTGAGCGATCGCCTCAGCATCCACCAGAGCGTGTACATGCAGATCAAGCCATAGAAGATCACCAGACTGATGTAGAAAGAGGCCAAGATTTTGAAGAGCGTGGCCAGAGGATGAGCACAGCGGTACATCCGGTAGCCAGTCAGGCTCTCGATGTCCACTTTGCAGTCAACATCAAACGTTATGTTGTTGACATAGTAAACAGTATAGCAGATGATCAGAATGAACTTGATGACTTTGATGATGGTCTGTCTCATGTACAGGCGATAAACTATATCTCCCTCTTCCACGTGCGTGCGGAACTTCTTCACTTTCTCAAAGAGTGCTTTGGCCTGCTCCCCTTCCTTTTTGTCCAAGACACCGGTCTCAGATCGGTCCACAATCCCTTGCTCAATTCGAGACTTTGTTCTCTGCAGCATGGGAACGGTGGCTTCCACATCCTCACTGACTGTGGAGGATTTCTTGTCCATGGAGCCATTCATTTTCCCAAATGCTGGCTTGGTATCGCTCTCTTCCACCACTGTCTCAGATAACGCTCTCGTTGTCCATGGAGAGTCAAAACACTTAAGCAATATAGACACAAAATGCTCCAGCTTGGAGCTGGTCCTTGGGAATTTGAACCAGAAGTTGCTACAAGCCAGGAAGATGAGAGTGTGTAGCAGCACCAGATAAGGGAAGTACTTGGCAAACCAGTGGAGGCGGTTCTCATAGCACACCGCGTCCACGTAGTTATACTGGTGCCGGTCCAGGTCGTACTGGATCCCCGTGGGGCCGGCGTCCGCAGAGGGGACGAGACTGGAGTTATAGTAGGTACGCTCCGGAATGGCAACCGTCCAACCTCTGACCGAGTCGTTGCAGGAGTCTTTGGTAATCCATTTACAGGGCAAGCAGATCATTTTGTCCTGGGTGACCTGGAGCGTGCCCCCGAACACGGCGATCATCAGCATGACGATGGAGATGTAGTCGGTGAAGACGTCCCACCATGGCTTCAGGATGCGGTACGCCGGCTGCGTGTCCGCGAAGTAGCGCAGCTCCGTGACTGGAATCATGGCTCACCTGAAAGGAAACCAGAAACAGGACATTTACTAGCTCAGACTGCCTTGTGATTTTCAAGAAGGCATCAGGAAACTCGTGTTGAGCGCTGGCATGGCAAGACTGGAATCAGCCAAGACCCAACTTCGAGTCACCCAGAGACAAATGAATGAGGCTTCCTGTGAGTAACCTGCTGCAGCTAATGCTGTGAAGTCAGTTTGTTCCTGTCTTCCCTGACAGCTGAATTGCCACTAAACATCAGAACTGATACTTATCATCAGGAGTCTATTGGGCAAGACATTCACACTTAAAGAAAGCTCACTGGACAGATTTAAACTACCCCAGCCAGACCAGTACTTGGAAGTTTACTGGTTTCTCTAGGGATTTTATTTCAAGGATGAAGGAGTTTGCCAGTGCTGTTAGAAGAGATAAAATCCATGTACAGAGCATATATGTCATGAGCTTTTTTAGAGAGCTAGAAAATACTAACTCTGCATTTGTGTGGTTCCCAAACTGCAGGGGCAAGGAAGAGGATTTACTTACAATACAGTTATTTCCTAGAACTTCACTGATATAGCTCAATACCACACTGATAAAATAAGCTGGAAAATAGAACAAAGTTGGCTGTTATAATGACTTTTCCTTCCATGTAAGTACTTTTGGCTTCCCTCCTCTGCATTAATTCTCCAAGGAAAGATTAGTTAGTTACTCTCTGATAGATTCAGTACTGAAATCCTGTAGCAGCTGCTCTTTGCCTTACTTACTTCAGAAGCAAAGGAAGAGGGAGACATACTTGAAAGAAGAATTCACTTCCCTGACCAACCACTCCCACCTAGAGTTCATCTCAGCTGGGATTTAAGTGTCACAGGAAATTAAAAGGTTCTGGGAAGCAGGGGCCTTATGACAGTGCTTGCTCTGCCCTGCAGACTTCCAGCTGAAGCTTTGAGCACGTTCCCCCAGCAGGCACAGAAAGCCCGGAAGCCCTGACTGATCCACGGATAACTGGGAGCTCACAAAATTCCCCTGGCAGGCCACACAAGCAAAGAGCATGAAGTCATTGTGACCCATTCTAAAGAC